AAAATCAACCACGATAATAATAACGGATATGCGTACAAGAAACTCAATTAACCCTTCAAGCTCTCCTCTCGCTCGATAGCCCGTCCCACGCGCGCAATTTCCTCAATGACATCGCCGATCTTCATCTGGCGCTTTCCGACCTCGATTTTGAGCTCCTTCCCTCCCTTAAAGCCCACCGTAACCTCGGGCTGTTCTGTCGAGACACGGGGGAGTTGCTTAACCTTGATATCGATGTGCGTAGCGCTGGATGCCGGGGCAGTATTGGGATTGCGGAGGATAGAAAGTAGAAGCCTACAGGGGCGGGCGGACTTGGAGAACGGGTTGAAGCTTGTGCGGAGAGTGGTGATCGTCTGGACAGGAATAGTCATCTTGAACAATTGGACCCGATCTTGTTAGGCCGGAGAGCTTGAGTAATTGGAGATCTGCTGCATCGGATCAGTTGGGCGTCCTATAATTGATTGGTCGGATACTGACTATTGCGCGCGGCGTTGGCTTCTGAGTATAATGCTGACAGTAAGGGAGCTCTCGATGATGTGAATATCTTCGGTTTTGCAACGTCAATGATGGGAAATGACGGCGTATTTGCGGTTGTATATCAAACCCGAGAAAATTACCTCGACTTTCTCCAGGTATCGGGAAGCACAGGAATGTTTGGTGTTTGACGGAGATGCAAACATTGATTGGATGATCTTACCGTCGCCCACTTTGAAATTACCCGGCAGAATAATTTGAACAACTCCATCGATTGCTCGTTGAATTGTGCATCTCTTCTATAGCTTAGAGTTTAGGCGTCGTATCCAACCAAAGATCACTACTTTCGATTTTAAAAATTACGTTACAATGTGTATAGCCTTAGTTTTCATCCGAGCTAATTCTCGATCAATAAATCCTATTCCTCGTAGAGATATAATTATCAAACTATACCAGCGACGAAGCCCTTTTCCACGGTCGGGATTCTCAAGATCTGACCAGTGCGATCGTATAGACCGCCTCACTAATTTAACACCGCCTTCCCTTTCAGATATAGTCAATTGTTCCTGGACTGATGACGCTGCGGCCAGACTGGCCGTCTTGATGGAATTGTGTCTTCTACTGCTAGCATAACCTTTGCTTAATTGTGATATATTTGATTACCGTAGCGGGCGCAGTGCTACTAGAGGACTGGCTGAAATATATCCGATTATATGCATATTTGGCCGCTAGAATCCCGCTCTCGATTCGTGAGATCAACCTTATCCAACACTACTGAATGATTACAACATCGCACTGCATGCTACTTTGAACATGTCTTCTTTATCCGCGCTTCAAGCTCGCCTAAAAGAGCTATCGACCTCTCTGGCGCAGATCCACCCTCTCGTGTCCCGATTACGGAACTTTACCACCGCCGTTGGACAAGGTGACGAAGCTCGATTAGAATTAGGGACGGAGATCCATAGTCTGCTGAAAGAGGCAGAGATACAATTAGAGGTTTTAAGAGTTGATGTTGAAGCGTTAGAAACTGCCCCGGAAAGCAGACGGAAAGGTGTGGACAACGAGAAGGAGTTAGAGCGGGAACGGGTTGTTGCGCTGGCAGGTAGACTAGCGGAAGACTTGAAAAAGTGAGTGGGCTATATCGCATTGTCAGAGCTGTGCGACATGTACGGCTGCTATTCTTTTCTTCATGAAGCTAATAAGTTCATGACAGGACGAGAGGAGACTTCCGAAATGCGCAGTTACAAGCGAAGCGGAATGCGGAGATCGCGAAGCGCAAAGAGAGGGAATTACTATTTTCGAGATCACAGAGCGCTGAAAGGAAGAGAGAGTCCACTGAGAAGCTGACACAAGATGATGTTTTGCTCAATACATCAAGTGATGTTACTGCGGCATTGCGGAGAACGCATCATCTGATGCAGGCAGAGTTATCTAGAAGTCAATTCGCACAAGAGACACTAGGTCTGTTTCCTCCTCGGCTGATATTTATCGCTCTAACTAATTCATATTACAGAGCAATCGACTGCTGCGCTTTCATCGCTCTCAGAGTCTTATACAGGCCTTGATACCCTTCTATCCTCGTCACGCAACCTTGTCGGTTCGCTCCTTCGCTCGCAAAAGTCCGACACCTGGTATCTTGAAACTGCGTTCTACATTCTAATCGGGACCATTGTATGGCTACTGTTTCGCCGGATATTATACGGACCCATGTGGTGGCTTGTATGGTTGCCGATAAGGTTAGCAGCGAAGTTCGTATTTACCATTTTGGGCGCGGTTGGCCTATCCAGCAAAGCCGTTCAACCTTCTCCGTCTGCTATTCCTAGCGCAAGTTTAGCCCAAGAGGCAGTGGTCCCAAGTCTTGAAACCGAGGCAAATGTTCAAACCGCCGATGGACAGGCTATCTGGGACATACCTCCAGTTGCGGAGGCAAAAGAAGATCGCATGATTGGTCACATTGGTAACATGGTTGAGGATAATGAGGTGGGATCTAAAGAGGAGACAACGGAAGCGAATGAACAACAGGAAGAGGAGGTTGATGAGACCAACATTGATGACATTTCACTAGAAGAAAAACAAAGACAAGCGGAGCTTCCTCGAAATACGAAGAAGAGGATGTATGAAGCTACCGAAGTACTAGAAAACAGGAAGGATGAGCTATAGGTACTAGCAAAAAATTTACGAATAATCAATGATTGCGACAACAACAACAACAATGCTGCATATATAGGATGATAATTGAAACATAGCCATTGCTCTACTCTGGCTGGAGATGGCAGCCTCAAGAAAGATAGGAAGAAGCATTGAGTTGTTGTCTACCTCTAATGCTTCATAGATCCATACTGTCTGAGCAGACCAATAAAGGTCTTGGCATCAATAAATCGCGTTTATCACGTGGGGACGCGTTCCGACACGCTCATCCTCCGTCATTTCCAGGGAGCTTTACTGGGAGAAACTGGTATAATCGGTAACAACCAAATTGGCAGAACTAGATTTAGCCCCTTCAGATTTGGCCTTCGCCTCCGGGTAACATATCATGGCTGCCAACTTTTTCAACAATAAAGCCCGTGCTGCGGCCGCAGCATCAAGCAGTTCGAAGCAGAAGCCGACAGACGGAAAAGAGGAACATACACAGCAACAGCCATGGGTTGAAAAATAGTATGTACTGTTCCAAGTGACTGTTACTTAAAGGATCTGGCTAACAATTTCTTTCAGCCGTCCTAAGACGCTAGATGATGTCGCAGCCCAAGACCATACAACAAACGTGCTCCAACGGACGTTACAAGCTTCCAACGTGTGTTAATTCCCTACTTGAGACAAGCGAATCAACCATTAACATGATTGGAAATCAAAACAGCTGCCTCATATGCTCTTCTACGGACCTCCCGGTACTGGAAAGACATCGACGATTCTCGCCCTCGCAAAATCCCTATTCGGACCTGCTCTGTATCGTTCACGTATCCTTGAGTTGAACGCTTCGGACGAACGTGGTATTGGCATTGTACGTGAAAAGGTCAAGGGCTTTGCGAGAGTACAACTCAGTCACCCTACCGGGGTCGACAAGTCATACTTCGAGAAATACCCATGCCCACCGTTCAAGATCATTATCCTTGATGAAGCAGATAGTATGACCCAGGATGCTCAATCTGCTCTTCGACGCACAATGGAAACCTATAGCAAGATCACACGTTTCTGTCTTGTTTGTAACTACGTCACCCGAATCATTGAACCACTGGCCAGTCGATGCAGCAAGTTCCGTTTCAAGCCGCTGGATAACTCGGCTGCGGGCGATAGACTTGCACATATTGCAAAATTGGAGAACCTGGAGTTAGAGGATGGCGTCGTTGACAAATTGATTCAGTGCAGTGAGGGTGACTTGCGACGCGCAATCACATATATGCAAAGTGGAGCTAGGCTGGTAGGAGCTAGCGGAAACAGCGGTAAACAGGATGGAGAGGAAGACGCTCAGATGACAGATGCTAGTTCGCAGGTGGTTACTGTGAGGATGGTAGAGGAGATTGCTGGCGTGATCCCAGAGAGTGTTCTAGACCAGCTGATTCAAGCTATGCAACCAAAGAAGATCGGTTCCTCCTACGAGGCTGTCTCCAAGGTAACTACGGATATTGTTGCGGATGGGTGGAGTGCGACGCAACTGCTTGCACAGGTACGTTCTTATATGAGCTTTTCCATCACGCGATGCTAACAATGGACAAGCTTTACCGCCGAGTGGTTTACAATGACGCCATTCCTGATATTCAGAAGAACAAGATCGTCATGGTTTTCTCCGAGATGGATAAGCGCTTGGTCGACGGTGCGGATGAACATCTGTCAATTTTGGACGTGGCTCTGAAGATCTCTTGTATCTTGGGCGGCGCCTAATGGCCAGATATTAAATGAGAGATAATCTCAATGGCCATCCATCTGTATATGTATGAGGATATCTCCCGCGGATCTACTCTAATCACACCATCCGACAGTAACCCTCTGTCGGACTCCCTCATTCGAGGTTACGGCCCTAATCCAACGGTGGATTCAAGCTGTGAAGCCACCAGCGCACGGGCATAACAGAACATGGGCCGTCCTGATGTTTCAGCCGGACAGGTTTCCGCTGCTGAATGAGTAGCGCGGCCACTATTGGTTCTGTTCTCGGGCGCGAAGACCGAAGAGTTACGACTGTACGAGGTTTCATGAGATGGAAGGGATTGCCAACTGGTAGCCTATACCAAAATAATATACATGAATATCCATCCCACTGCTTGCACTTGTTCTAGAATGTCTATGATTACGTATGAGGCGAAGGATGTGCCTGAGTGAAACCACGCCACGTGCGGCCCCGCTCGCCATTCTCTCCGAAGCGTCACCGGCAAATGAGCCAAGCCTTCAACGGTTTTGGAATGACTCTTTTTTGTGTCAAACTTTGTAAACTGTCTTTTTTCGCAGCCCTTGAAATATCGCTTCTTCGCAGAGAACTAGAACTGCTAGAGTAGACACTCCAGATCGCCCTTTCAGAAGCTGTTCGAACATACCCCGCAATGGCAGAATCACCCCGCTATTTGACCGGAGACGGTGAAGGAATCCGCGAGTTCATAGACAAGTTCGACGTAAGTATTGACTCTATATATTTTTTTTCTCCTTTATCTTTTACTTGACCAATTGCGAGCAGAAAGGTAACTAATAATCTGTTTCAGGTCTTCCTCTTTGACTGCGATGGTTGGTATCCCGAACCTTCAGTTTCGCCTTCTTCCGGACCCTCGATATCTAGCCCAATGTGATAGCAATACTGAAAGTGACCATTGATACAGGCGTCCTCTGGTCTGGTGACCATACTTTCCCCGGAACAAACGAGACACTGGAGCTGTTGAGAAGCAGAGGTATGCACCCGAGGGCCGAAACGCCGTGAGACACATCCAAGCGCAAAGGCTGAACTGCATTTGTCGCAACCAGGAAAGCAAGTCGTGTTCGTCACGAACAACAGCACCAAATCGCGGGCCGATTACCAGAAGAAACTCGACTCCCTCGGATCCCAAGCACGACGGTAAACTTCAGCCACACCTAGGAGCCCACCCACAAAGCAGACGATGGCTGACAACAAGAACAGGAAGAGATCTTCTCCTCCTCATACAGCGCCTCGATCTACATCTCCCGCATCCTCCAGCTCCCAGAGAACAAGCGCAAAGTGTTTGTGTTGGGTGAAACCGGTATCGAGCAGGAGCTGCGCTCAGAGAATGTCCCCTTCATCGGCGGTACTGATCCCGCGTATCGTCGGGACATAACGCCTGAGGACTATAAGCGCATTGCTGCGGGAGATCCGGAGTTGCTGGATCCTGAAGTCGGGGTGGTCTTGGTGGGACTGGACTTCCATATCAATTACCTCAAGCTGTCGTTGGCGTTTCACTATGTTCGTCGGGGTGCTGTCTTCCTTGCGACGAATATCGATTCTACTCTCCCCAACTCGGGGACCTTTTTCCCTGGCGCTGGCTCTGTGAGCGCGCCTTTGATTATGGCCTTGGGCAAGGAGCCGGTCTCGTTGGGTAAGCCCAATCAGGCGATGATGGATGCCATCGAGGGGAAATTTAAGTTTGATCGGAGCCGTGCGTGCATGGTCGGTGACCGTGCGAACACTGATATTCGGTTCGGTCTGGAAGGGAAGCTTGGAGGTACACTGGGAGTCCTTACTGGTGTCAGCAGTAAGGAGGACTTCGAGACGGGGCCTACTAGGCCTCTGGCGTATCTTGATAAGCTTTCAGATCTTTTGGGATCGAACTGATGATAGATTAAAGTTAGAGTGCTAGACAAGAGAGAGAGGGATATACATTGTCGATAGATATAGTTAGGGAAACCACATAGATACATAGAAGTTGGTTCGCCGTACAGGCAAAGATTTAGAGCTTAACCAGAACCTTGTGCTCAGTTATCAGAGCAGTTATCTTCAGATAATCATGACTGCGGCTCATCGCTGGGATCTGGAGTCTCGCAAGTCGACTCATGCCTCAGGAACCCCTTCAGCTTCCACAGCGCCAACATCGCATTAACCGTGATCGGGTCATTCGGTCTAAAATACAAAGCTGGACTCTGGAAACGCGGATCATAACCCCAGATCTCCTCTAGCTCCTTCTCAGAGAAGAGCTGCGCAAGTTCAAACACAGGTACCTTAGATGGGAGATGCGGCAACATAAGATATTCAGGGAGTGTTCCCACAGCATTGGATATTGCTTCATCTTGTGAGACTGATTCAATCACCCCCGTCTGGTTGTTAATCAGGGTGCCCATAACCAACACCGCACCGCATTCCATGCGCGGGAAGGGTTTCACACCCTTCAACTCTTTCAGAATAGCCGCCTCGGAGTACTCATTAAGGTCGATAGCCGTCCAGACGCGGTTGGTAGCATCCAATCTTTTATACTTAATACAGGCGTGTTTAAGCTGCTTGACCACATCCATCCTCATTCTTGATAGCACAAAGTTAGGCATATCTTCGCGCCAGATGATCTGTTTCTCTTCCCGAACAGTAAAAGGCCCGTGTGGATGTTTCCACCGATAGGGGAATAGCGCGCAACAGGCGACCTCGTCCCGTACACGTGCGACGCCAAAACCGAGTTCAATTTTTTCAACAGCGGGAGACGGTCCACGAGTCGTAGCGTAAGGTGCCGAATGCTCTTGTCCATATAAGGTATCGGCAGAGATGTACCGCCGGCAGCTCGCCGCGCTCTATGGTCCGCAGCAGCACCGGCCACTTCATCTTTGAGTAGCCCTAGGGGCATGAACCACAGGCCATCAGATTTAGGCCGTTTAAGCATCCCCCAATCGCTCAGAAGGGCCCTAGGAATGCGTGTCCCTGTTGCGGAGCACATCCGAGGAGGTGAGGCGAGGGCCATTGCCCAGGGGTTCCGGCGGAGGTCCTCCAGGTCTTCAGGTTTTGCGGCCCGCTTCTTGTGTTTCTTCTCGAGATTGGGGTGCACGGTCTTCATGAGGGGTGATTGAGGGAGAGTTTGCGAGAGTCGAGGCTCCTCTGTTGCACTGGCCGTGAATTCCGCGTCATCATGTTGACCCGGTTCCTTTGGATATTCGCGGTGTTGGAATTGTGATCCGTCCAGAGTGTTTGGGTCGTCGATCGCACGTCTCGAGATGGTTCTTCGGCCATTGAGTTCCGAAGAGGACAAGAAAAGCCGTTGAAAGACCCTCAGACGCCATGAGGCGTACGAAATCCGGCCGTGAAGGCACTCCATGGTGTGCTTCGCGAAAAAGGGCAGATCAGATAAGTGAGAGAGAGTTGGCTACCCTTCCAAACCCAACGAAACTAAACTCCACAATCCGCGGCGCTAAACCGCATCCATGCTGTTCGAGCTCCGAAGCTTGGCGGCGGCCCTTCTGCTCTGATGCGATCGGAGTCCGGTCGTCTTCACTTCCATTCTTTCCTTGATTGTGACAAAGCTCTGTCTGTCAGCAGGCACTCTTCTCACAATGAACCCTGCACGTTCGTTACAGCGACTCAGTCGCTTCTTTCCGCGTTCCTCTATCCTCCCGGTGCTGTCGCGGAGTTTCACCAGCTCAGTCCCGTCACTATCAAAGGGCACTCCGCCGCGGGGCTGGACTCCCACGCCATTTGTAACAGAGACAGTAGTGAGTTCCTTTGACCTCACCTGCTCATACCGCAGTAAAGTCTGACTAACTATATCTCAGGGAGGAGGCTGGCACACATGTACGTTGACTTCAACGTCAAAGCAGAAACCAACAGTATTAACCACATCGCATAGATGATATCTTCTCCCGACTTCTAAAGGTACCAATGCGAGGATTCACACGCCACGCCACCCCCAAAAACGACCTCACACTGATCAATCTCCCCAGGAACGCATAATATGTCTCAACGGCGAAGTAGACGAAACCATGTCGGCGTCTATCGTCGCCCAACTCCTCTTCCTGGAAGCCGATAACCCCCAGAAGCCGATTCACTTGTATATCAACTCCCCTGGAGGCTCGGTCACAGCGGGTCCGTGTTTCCCATTCCCGAGCAGCTTCTACATTATGGATTTCCTATAGTGCTGGATGATATAGCATTGGTCTAACGGTTGGACAGGTCTCGCCATCTACGATACAATGACCTATATTGCCTCCCCCGTGAGCACCATCTGCGTTGGCCAGGCCGCGTCGATGGGCTCCCTTCTTCTTTGCGGCGGTCACCCCGGCAAACGTTACTGTCTGCCCCATTCGTCGATCATGATACACCAGCCGTCGGGCGGGTACTTTGGACAGGCGACTGACATTGCGATTCATGCAAAGGAGATCCTGCGGGTTCGGGAGCAGCTGAATAAGATCTATAAGCGTCACTTGACGGGGAAGAAGGAGATGTCGCTGGAGGAGATCGAGAAACTTATGGAGAGAGATTATTTCATGGGGGCTGGGGAGGCGTTGGAGATGGGTATTGTCGATGAGATTCTGGACCGCAGGGTTAGGTCGACAGAGGAAGGGGGTGAAGGGGATGGGAAGCCACCAACGACTCCTTAGAGGTTTTCTTTCTTCGTTTTCTTGTTTGGTAAATGGCATACATACCCTTGTTGCTATGTAATATTATCATGACTTGTTATGGATTTCGTTGTCTTCGATACTATGTTCAAGTGTGGATCTGATTGTGTCTGATGCCTTCCGATTCGTTATAATCGTATAACGCTTTTGACAGACACTCTAACCTAGATGCTACTAGGTGTATACATTGCAAGAGAATTGGAACGTCAGGTTCAGAACTGGTTATATATCGATATAATATTTACACATGTTACAGCCAGTATGGACCCAAGGTCAATACGTACAAGATAAAAGGAGTAGCCGGATCATGTCGCTACTCTCTCAAGGCGTCCCTCGGAGTTGACCTGCAATCCAAAGCGTTCTCGAAGAAAAGTAGCTGTCTGGTCGGAGGGCATATAAGCAGAAGTTCGCCTTGCCACAGCCGGACTATAACGCCATTGATCCCGGATGATATTAAAGATACCGAGGTCCATGATCACTGCCTCTCCTGACGCAAAAGCATCCATGGCGTGGCTATTCCTGGCACCAGATATACGTCCGCCTTCTGAAGGATCCGCCAGCAGCTCCGTTCGCTCCAGTTGCTCGTCCGTACTAAGATCCATATGTTCATCGCGTGGACGTATCTCACTAAGCTCTATGCCATCGCCGGAGGGTTGAGCCGAGCTGCTCCGGAGAACGCCGCGCTCCTCGGAATCATGATCCTGATCGCTGGGTGTCTCTATTACACCTGGTATCGTGGATACGGGCGCAGTCGCTTCAGTCGTCTTCACCCGTTCCACAATCAGACCTAGCATCACCAGGTCGAGGAACAGCACAAGCAAGTCCGACAGTAGAAGCCGGGCTACCGAGACGGGAGCTTTTTGTCCAATAAAGTCTATCAACAATCCCCCATGCAGATAGCCTCTCGTTGCTTCTCCAGCCTCCGGCTGACCGAAAAACTTGTGGTGAATCATACAGAACACATTACTGGCGAAGATGGCCCCGATGAAAGGTTGATTCCGCGTGGGGTCAAATGGAGGTGCCTTGGGAGTGAAGAATATTAGCTGCACAATAGCACGGAGTGCGAAAAGTATGATTGAGCAACTGCGGAGGCAGAACCCAGTCAGCATCTGCTTCACTTGGCGGGCTTGCCCGAAGGGACGTCTGCAGTCCAACAGCTTGGCGGGACTCACTCCATGTAATACAGTGCGGATAGCTGGCAGTAAATCAAGATATCGAGATCGCGGAGTAAGCGATCGATGAACGCGACTTTCGCTGCCGACTGCAGTTTCTTGAAGCGGCCATCATCACCAGATTGCGGCCCCGTGAGGTCCGCGACGCTTCCATGCGGGATGCCGGATACGTCAGCGATGTATTCCGCATCTCGATAGACATCCGGAGTTGTCATAGGGGGTCATGAGGGCATGAATGGCATCTACATGAACTGATGGTTTGAACGAACAGGTAGAGGCCGCCACTGCAGACCTGAAGAGGGTGAGGTGCCACTATCCTCGAGGTGGACTGTGATGGTCGGGGAGACGATAATGGGGAGTCATGTGCGCGGGCCTTTCTCGGCCCGAAGGCCCCAGCTGCCCCAAATTCCAGATGGAGCTCCAGTCACTTAACGCTCCACATAGCGACTCCGCTCAGTAGCTTTGGTGATGATCGCATAGCCCTTTGTCATGGTTGCCTATGTCAAAGCCTCTGACACCTCCATGATTTTATTTTTTGCGGGACCTCTCACCATATAATAATGTTCTTACTTTCGATGAATGTTGATTGACTTTGTCGATGGTCTGACATCAACGGAATTTCTGAGCGCTATAGATAGTGAATACTCTATAGATACCTATCTACATAAGTAACCAACGCTTCAATCAACAAAGATCGTCTTTGACGTGTTCGCGTAGTGCTTGAAGAAGCTAGTGAACAGCCGAATAGAATGTCCAACATCATATGTACCACCAGTTTCCCGGATACTGTGCATGCTCAGCTGTGGGTTACCCAAGTCCAGCGTGCGAGCACCGAGTGCAGCGGACAACATTGGGCCAATTGTGCTTCCACAGCTGGAGTCGTTGCGAACGACGAAAAGCTGGAGAGGGACGCCTTCCCCACCGTCTTCTGCTGCCTTGCGTGCAATCTCCTGAAGTAGGACAATGCCAGGGGAGTTCGTCGCGTAGCGAGCATTGGCGTTAATCTTGATCACAGGACCCTTGTTGATCTCCGGTCGGTGATCATTCTCGTACTTGGCAGCGTAGTTAGGATGAATAGCATGAGCCATGTCCGCAGAAAGGAGGAACGAAGTCGACAGAGTCTCTTCATAGGCGGTAGCCAAGTCATCATTGCCAGACGTGGAAGAAGGCAGAACAGACAAGCGACGGATAATTGCCGGAAGCACATTAGAGTCAGCTCCCTGCGCGGTACGGCTGCCGATCTCTTCGTGATCGAATAGCGCAATGAGACGAATGGATGGTTCATCGTCCAGCGCCGACGCATCGGCAACGGAGTCGATCAGTCCAACAGTGGCACAGAACGAGCTGTTCAGGTTATCCAGGCGGGGCGAGAAGACGAATTCTTCCAGCAAGCCACCAAGGCAAGACTTCTGAGTGTCGAACAAGATCATCTCAAAGTCCAAGATGTCGGCTGGCTCAACTCCTGCTTCAGCAGCAATAAGCTCCACCAAGTAGGGGTGATGACGCTCGGTCACTGATTTTAGTGGAGAGAAGTCTCCTTTCTCCGTTTCGCCATTTTCCGCGGCCTTTTCACCGGTGGCAGTGGAATCGGCAGTGCGATTGAGCTCAGCAGCGACAAGGCCTGCGATAGGGAACAATTGGGTCTCCTTATTGAAAGCAAAAGTCTCCTGGCGATCAAGGTGGATAGCCAAGGTTGGGATCCGGAGAACTACGAAATATGTCAGTCACATATCTTCCAAGTCAATGTTACGTAGAGCCCATACTCGGCCGGTCGATTTTGACCAACTTCTGCACAATGGAGCCGTCACCGGTCCGTACCATAGCACGACCTGCGACACCCAAATCACGGTCAAACCCTAGATCTCCTTAGTATGCAACGCACGGAAAGAGGGTAGACAACTTCGTTACATGTGTGCCAAATGCCACCTCCGTATGTCTCTACGCCAACTTGGACGAACCCTTCGCCGCGCTTGTTGCTGACAGGCTTAATTCTCAACACCGGAGAGTCCGTGTGGGCACCGATCATAGAAATCGGGTTTCCAGGCTAGTTATCATGAGTAAATGTTGTCTTTTCAGTCTTGAAGAAGGGAAGCTGGATATGTGCGGGGGGTTCTGTGTATGTACCTTCCATTTCTTACCGATGGCGAAAGCCACAATGGTTGAGCTGTTACGGGTCAAGTAATACTTTCCACCGGGACGGCAAGTGGAAGACCAAGAATCTTTCTCCTGGAGGCACAGTTAGGATTTTCGGCAACACTGGGATGGAATCACATACCTTGATCTCCTGGAAGCCAGCCTTCGACAGAAGTTCCTTTGCTGATTGGACAGCGTGGAAGGCTGAATTTGACCCGAGTTAGACCAGTCACTGGACCAAGAATGCGAATCACAAGGGGGCTAGTTACGGGTGGGGGAGGCATTGACAAAGGACAAGAAGTCCAGAGCCGGCTGCTTCAGATTTTGGGCGAGTTTCGAAGTCATTTTTGGGTACCCCGCGAGCTAGATCCAGGTCCGTCGTAGTTGTTTTTGTTGGAGACGAAATTGCGGAGACAGCGAGAGTTTCTAATGGCATGAGATCATGGCTGGTCTTGGCGGTAAGGCACTAAGCTTCGGTTTATGGGGCCCGATCCATTTTCAACCCTAATTCGGATTCAGACTGATCTTGTTACTCTCTCTATTTCTTATAACTACACAGTATACTCTGTTTTTCATCTTGTACCGAGAAACTGGACTCGTCATGGATTTGACAGGTCGGTTACTAATGATAGTGCGCAGGACCAGGATATAGTACGGGACATGGAGCATCCGAAGACCCTCTCTTGCACAGGCAGCAAAATACCACGCATATGAGACATGAACAATGCACGGTGTCTCCCCGAGTCATGTCTGCAACATGACAGGTCAAACTTATCCTCTTCTCTATAATAGTCCACCGCAGCGCCTGTCATGATTGAATTTGTAGAAAATCGATATGTATTCGATACTCTACGTGTCTCTTCATAGCTTCTATAGTAGCAACCCTGGATCGGTTCGATAGGCGACTAGACAACGAACAGTATGACATAGAGGGGTTCTTGAAATTAAAGAAGGGCAGCAAGTTTGGGGCACATCGGCGACTAGTTGGGGCTAAAGTATCGATAAGATTAACCATAACAAGTGAACGGACGATTTGATGAGCTTGGGGAGGCTCAGCAATCCCTTGGTGTGTGGAGTAGATTAAGGGAGGCCAGGATTTTGTCTGAGAACACGAAACCAGAGGGAAAAGCATGGGAGACAATGGAAAGCCGTTATGCTCAGAGGTGTCCACTGAGATCGACGCGGAAAGGGAGAAGCGATAAGTTTCTTTGGCTGGAAACTCTCCTTCATGCTGTGGTCCAAGCTTTTCCCTCGCGCGTTCAGGGCGCGTGTCATGGAGGCGGTCGCGAGGAAGCCCGAAAAAGTGGCACCTGGATTAGCTATCGATGGACGCTGATCCAATCATTCATGACATCGGTCGCGTCGGTCAAGTCGCGTGTTTTTTTGAGCCATCAAGAATTTGTCGCTCGATCAGAAAGAAGGAATTATAAGAATTAAAGAAAGAAAGACAAAGCGGCCGTTCATTAGAGGTACGAATCGTGCTGAGTGGCTTTGCAAACAGTGTAGTTGTCGTGGGGTAAACAAGAGCATGTTCTCCGTAGTACAGGTAACAGTGCACTATGTTGCGCGGGATGATCTATCTAATCAGTCCCAGGGTTACATGAGGGCGACTATATACAACACCACAGCGGATCAAATTGAACGGACTACAGACGAACGACATAAGTGAAAGATCGGTGTCTTCTCGATTTGAGCCAAGAACAATAATTTGAGACAAACTGAAAGCGAAAGAAAGTCGAGCCCAAGAGGGTAAAAAATACGTGACGGCCACCTACGACCCAGATAGGCTTAGCGCAGCCGACGCGTGACTGGGAGGGATTCCCCTTCGAAACTCCGTCACCCCAAGAGGGCCCCATCACCAGCCCTTGGATCCAACCCTCAGCGCTGTTTCAACATCCCATTCCTCACCAGACGGTGGTCGGGTCCGTCTCAAATGACCTCCACAAGTTGCTTGAATATCTTCAATCAGCACCAAGTCTGGTGAGAGATACTATTTATCTACCTATCGTCGCTCTCAAGCCGCCTGACTTCTAGTTGGTCTGGATTATTGCTCGGAGCGGAGAAGGGTTTGGCTATCGTCAACAGATTCATTCACCAGACAAGCGCCTTGAAGCGATCCGACTGACAAGAAACACAAAACATCTTCCTAATCTACCATCTCACGAGCGCTTTCACAATTGACCTTCTATATACCACCATACAATTTGCGATCCGACATTGGCGATTGTCGCATTACCCCGGCTGGCCAAAGTCCATCCCTCCTTCGACCGCCATTTGAACCAGGCGAGATCAACCACCCCGCCAGAAGGATGGGCGACCACATCCACGACACAAATACGGTTGCCACCCGCAGCGCAACAAGAAATGCTTCACGTGCGAAACCATCCGGAAGTGCCGCCAATGCATTGAACCTCGCATCCCCGCCTGGGTCAAGGACGCCGCCCAGCATGCCATCAAAAAAGACCATTTTCTATCCTGATTTGCTAGGCAGGCAACAGAAAAGTCGAAGTGGATCGGAGGCTATCGACCCGGATGCGCTTGCGAAAGCTTTGAAGGACTTCGAGGACGCTGGGCGCCCCCGCGAGAGAACACCCGGGACCAGTCCCAGTCGAAAAAGGCAGCGGGTATATGGCGACAGGTCAGTAACGACAATTCCCCCATAATAGCCCACCGTCGTCCTACGGTTCTTCTGCGCCTAGCCTAGGGTGTCCGGTCGACTTATTACTAAACTTCTGTATAGGTTCATCCCGAATCGGGAGGGGCAAGATCTCCAAGCAACCTACAGTTTGCTCCACGAGGACGGGTGTCCCTCTACTCCTTCGAAATCGAAAAAGCGTGCGCCGCATTCAGAGCTTCATTTTCAAAAGAGTCAGTCCGTACCTTCTCCGCGCTTATACTATGAAACTTCGGCTAACATCATTTCCAGCGGAGGAAGCAAACAGGATGTACTCGCGAGTACTGCGGAGCGAGCTGTTTGGTAATACTGTCCCACAAGCTGACCTGGACTCATTATCCCCGGATCCTTTGCTGGGCCTCGGTAATGGTATCAATGAAAAGACTCGCTCCCATACCCCTCCGTCGCATGTGTCAAATCTTCCTCCAGCAAGCATAACACCGTCGACACCCCACAAGAACCTTTTCAACTACGCCTCTCCACGTGGATCTGGACATCCCACCCCTTCTAAAACCCCCCGGAGTCAACATGGCCCCAACCTCAACGTTCGATCAGAGCTCTACAGTTTGTCACCAATCCGCTATGACAGTCAGCGCATCCTTGAGACCCCTCGCAAACAACCACGTTATGTCAATAAAGTCCCATACAAAGTACTGGACGCACCTGACTTGCAAGATGATTTCTATCTAAATCTGGTGGACTGGGGGAGTAGTAATGTTTTAGGTGTTGGCCTTGGAAACTCCGTCTATATGTGGAATTCGCAAAGCGGATCAGTGACGAAGTTATGTGAACTAAGAGACGACACCGTCACAAGTGTGAACTGGATTCAAAGGGTGAGTCATTAAAGTACATCTCTGCATTGGCGCGGGGACTAACAGAGACACAGGGTACACACCTCGCTATAGGGACTGGGAAGGGACTTGTACAGATCTGGGATGCGGAGCGCTGTCGCCGTCTTCGAACGATGATTGGCCATACCAATCGTGTAGGTGCCCTGGCTTGGAATGATCATATCCTTACATCCGGCTCGCGAGATCGCCTCATCTATCACCGAGATGTCCGTTCTCCAGATCAGTATCTCCGGCGACTTTCTGGCCATAAGCAAGAAGTCTGTGGTCTCCGATGGAATACAGAAGACGGTCAGTTGGCCTCGGGTGGTAACGACAACAAACTCTTGGTGTGGGATAAATTAAACGAAACACCCCTCTATCGATTTTCTGACCACACTGCGGCTGTCAAAGCGATTACTTGGTCACCTCATCAGCATCATTTACTTGCTTCGGGCGGTGGAACGGCCGATCGGACTATCAAGTTCTGGAATACCTCAACTGGATCTTTGATCAAGGAAGTTGACACGGGGAGTCAAGTCTGCAACCTAGCCTGGTCGAAAAATTCCGACGAAATCATCAGCACACACGGTTACAGTCAGAATCAGATTGTGATCTGGAAGTATCCACGTATGGAACAGATCGTATCATTGACGGGACATACGTTTCGTGTCCTGTATCTGGCAATGAGCCCCGATGGCCAAACGGTAGTTACGGGCGCTGGTGATGAAACTCTGAGGTTTTGGAAGATCTTTAACAAGAAGTCCGGGAGAGACCAGGGGCGTGAAGGCAGCAAGTTGGCGGAATGGGGCACTATTCGATGATATTACGATCGATATATTTGATGACCTTAGTGCTACGGCATCTTTAACATACCCTGCAAAGGGCTTTCGATATGCATTAGACACGGCGTTCACGGAATCTGGCGTTGTTTCAATCCTGGGTATATCCTTGGTCGGTCCGGGGCAGGGTTATCAGGGTTTAATTGGCATCTCTCGCATTTTGTGGGTTTACGGCATTTGACAGGCGCTTATTTGCGAGGCGCTGGTGTCCCAGCATTTGATCACATATTTTGTCATGTACCGTTGGCCTTATTCGTGTTGTTCGCGCCTTCGCCACTATGCCTGCGTTTCTGCGCCACTTCTTTTGATTTACATTAACCGATCTTGTTTTACCCGTCCCTTCATCTCTCCTTGCACTCAATGTAAGCGGCGGCGCTCATGGTGTTTCGAATGGTGACTGGTTGTGGCGTTTGCTCATTGGGACATGTGGCAGGGAAGTCTCGAGTACTCTCATCTTGCCATGATCGCATTATATGTACCTTTTTCTCTCCTTCTTTTTCTTTTCTGGCAGGATTGATGATGAGATGACTTGTGAAATCAGGGCGTTGTTTAGCTCGCTATATTCCAGGGTCTCATCCACTCCGGAGACACTTGCCATGGGAAGAAGCAGTGTTGACCATTGTTCGAAGAATAACAAGAATGAAACCTGTCAATGTGGACACGAAGTAGACATGCGCGCGTATATATGTAGTAGTACAGTAGCCTGAGTCAAGTAGCATCTTCTTTCTCATTACACACAACGCCATTTCGATCATGTTCTTGTGCCATGACTCGATAAGCTTCCAATCGAACTTAACCAGAACAACCTTATCTAAGTATCACACCAAGGTTTCTGCAACCAAAACTTAATTGAATTGGGTTCTAGTCAAATCCTAATATACTTCAGACACGACAGAAGTTCCCAGTATGATATAGCTCACAGAACCGACTTCTTCTTGGTATACCCGGCGGTCCAGAATCCAGGCCACTCACTCGGCAGCTCTTCCACAATGAACCTGAATATGGCAGCCTGTACCTCCTCCGGCTTTTCATATTGCGCAAAGTGTCCTGCGTCGATCGTAACCTCCGTCAAGTTGCTACATGCCTCTCTCATTGGATCGGCCAGACGAGACGTTATGGTATCACACACCACATCTCTGGCGTCATGGATAAACAGAACTGGTTGGTCCAGCTTCCCATCGCGCTTCCCGTTGTATTCCGCGTTCCGCGCATGGTGCAGGTAGTACGCAGATCCGGGCCAGAAGCCGGTCCTCTGCATATCCTGCACAAACGAATCGAAGACATCCGCAGGGAGCACCGGAGGTCCTGTCATGTCCACGCTTGGGGGCTTTGGCATCCCGCCCAGCCATCCGCCGGCCTTGCGCACGCTGGCAGTCACCTGGGCAAAACGGCTGGTCGGGGCCTTGGCCGGCTGTAACGAAGCCTTGCAGTATCCTGCAATGTCACTGTCGAACCATTCAACGGTCTTTTCGAAGTTCTCCTCCCAGTTCTTCATATAGTCCCACTGTCCGAACTCGTATTCGTCCGCTGGGTAGAGATCGCGGTTCACAAAGGGAAGGAAACCCTGCCAGCCGCGCTCGATAGTATGGAATGGCACAGACAGGTTCACCAGCGCTTTAACCACCTCCGGGTGTTGCGTCGCGACGGAAGACGTTACGCCCGCACCCCAGTCGTGGCCAACCCAGATCGCTGCATCGCGGCCGGTGTCGGCTAGCAAAGCCATCATGCCCTCCACGATGGCCTCTTGACAGTAGTCGTCGGCCACGCGGCGGGCAGTCGACTGCCCGTATCCTGGCATATCAGGAGCAATGGCGCGGAATCCCACGGATGCGAAGGATTCAATTTGTGCCTTCCAGGTGATCGCGGTGCCTGGCCAGCCATGGATGAAGAGAACCAGAGGGCCATTTACAGGGCCTGCCGCAAGGTAGTGGATCTTTTTGTCGTCTGCGTAGACGACATTGTGGTCTGTGATGGCTACCATGGTGATAAGGTGACCGTATTTTCAATCGGAAGTCCAGATTCCCGTGGATCTGTGGAAACGTCGGTCGTTCTGCGTTGCTTGTTTGATGGCCGTAAACACAGGAGGCTACTGAGGTGTTGTCTCCTCAACGGTCAGAAGTCTTGGGGATGATTAAAATGGGGGCGATCAGGTGGGGTGAGATATTTAAAGCTATAGTAGTACTAATTCCTAGGTAAGCACTTCCCCCGCTGAATCGTGAAACATGACCCAATACACCTTCTTATTAAGTGCACACCACCGATTACTATGGCAATTATTGTTACGAGTCACTGTCCATAAATCAGTCTTATCATGCCCTGCCCCCCTGCTGGCGCCAATACTTCGTTCGCTTTGTTGGCTGGGTATGAATGTCAATCTCTCGGGATTAAACATCGGGGCTATGCAGCTCCTGCTCAACGCTGGTAACTCCTCGCTCTGGTGCTGAATTGGGGGTCTCTCTGAGATTCAAAAACGAGGACATAGCCGTCAATGTGGTATTGAAACCCACCATCACAAATTGCAGCGACTTCAACGTTTCGTCAGCGTGCACCTCACTGGACACAGATGCCCGAGATTGTTGGCAAGGAAGTAGACCCCATTGGCTTGGGACTGATGGGATTGACTTGGCGAGCGACGCCACCATCTCACCAGAAATCCTTGTGACTCCAGATGACTGTTGGAATGGCGCCGAGTTCATGGATCCCCTGATTACAATAGTCTTGTACTCCTGAAACGGCACCTGGAGATGCATCTGGAAGATGCCGGTAAAATCGTTCTGAACTTCCAAATCAACTGGACGAGAATGCTATCAAGGCGTCCGAGGATGCCAGCTATTATTCTAATTTCCGGTGCGACAACAGCGGAGCGAGTGAAGGAGAACAGCAAGCTTATCGGCACCCCGGATGAAGAGGTGGCAGAGATTGAGGCGATTCTGGCGAAGTTCACTCCGACTGGTGGACGATCCCCCGGAGATCATTCCGACCAATATATAGGTTATGAAGCTGTCTCTCAGCTGGTTAACGTACCGTAATTAGGGCTGTATGTGTTTATGTAACTTTGCGTTTTAGAGCTTATATTGTAACACTCTGGCTTCGCTACAGGCGGGGCGGGTTGTATGAAATGTAGATACCATATGAAGTGGGGCTTGCATACCATGAGCATAGCGAATTATCCAGTTTTATCCTTCCAAGAACCCCTAAGAAACTACATTGGATATATGGAATAATGCAATTATTACATCTTTACCACAAGAAAAACAACTGAAGGTTCGAAAAAGGACCAGCCCTAACTATGCAGCGGCAAAGCCGAGTTCCCGCTTTCAAGAAGTTCATGGCACGCTTAGAAGAAAGAATAACAGATAATCTACATTTATTCGAAACATATGTCTTTTGGGAAAAAGACGTCTCCACATAGAAGACGACTGGTCCCTCCACCAGCTCCTTTCCTGCTTCGCATTATTGGGGTGTGGGCAGATTTTCATGGCCATGGAATACTAGGGTAACCACTGAATACCCACCGAGCTACAGTCTATGATGCACCATGTTCACACTGCGCTATGTACCCATACTAAAGCAGTGGCATCCAGACAAGGAAATTTACTTCAGTTCAGTAGAAAAATTCCGGTTCGTATAGGTGTATATATGATATAAAAACACAACCTCCGATGATCTCTAGATTGGAGATACGTCCCAAACCCAATTGAGACCGATTCATTACTTATGCTACACTGGTTATGGAAGATTAGCCCACATGATCTGATGACATAGTCCTACACATTCTCTTAGAACTCACAATATGGATTGGAGATTTATAGAACTAGCCTTCCAGGCTCAACCGTCAAAAGAGCCTTGACACGGTCCAAGAAAACCCTAGCCCTCTTTTCTTCTTCAACAGGAACAGTCAGACTGAAGACATTGGCGGCGCTACCAGCCGGAGGCTCCACCACTGAGGGCCGGGAAGCAGCCTTGGGTGCCTTGCCGCTGAGAATATCAATGATGTCTTCCTTAACGGGTTTGGCCGGCTGAACGGCGGAGGGCACCTCCACTGCGTTCAACTCAGGAACATAATCGCCCCGGGATGTTTGAATGGGCTTTGCGCCGAGAACCTCATCGAATAGCTCGTCGGCGGACTGCTTCTCGCGAGACGAACGGGGAAGGTCGTCGTTGGCCAGGTCGGTAGCACGGGCGAGGAATGTCGCAAGAGGCACGTTAACCCCCAAAGTCTCTTGGATCTTCTTCTGGACGGACAGAACAGTAGCCAGGGAAATCGAGACGGCTACGGAGGTAGTTGGTGGAGGTCTAGCAACTGGCTCGGCCACTGGCTGTGGCTCAGCGGGCTTGGGCGGCGCGGCGATCTTGATGTTGCTCAGATCGAGGTGGGCAAGCTTATCAAACCGGACTTGCTGGGTGGCGGGATAATCAGCTGGGATAGAGCCGAGGTAGGCGAGGACATCGCCCTTGAGAAGACGGCCCTTGGGACCAGACGCCGGGATCTTCGAAACTTCCGATTCGGGAATACCTTTCTCGTGAAGGAGCTGGATAACGGATGGGTACAGCGGGTAGGCGGGGTTCTGGGTCTGAACGGCAGAAGAAGATGCTAGGCCTAGATAATGCGGTCAAACGCGATGTCAGCGTACATGTCCCAGACGGTGTATATACTCCAAGCACCTTTGCGAAAGCATCTCCCTCATTTGGATATCCCGCGGGCAACTTACGTCTTGTGGTACCGAGTACGCGTGGTTGCCGTCTGGCGAGCACGGCCGGAATTTGACGCAAAGTGAAGCTGGAGGCCATTTCTGGATATACAAAGATCACCCTTTATGAAATCTGGGTCGTGTGCTTTCTCCGGTCGTATGATACTCCCGTGGCGCTGTAATTGGATTCGGCGGACTAGGGACAGGAACGATCAAGAACCCACCACCACGTCAACGGGGCCGCACGGAATCCCAAGTGGATCGTGTGACTCGAGGCGATATCGCGATCTAAAGCTAATTGTAAGAAGACATAAACGCTGGATTTTACTGCAAAAGCTGAGACCGACCTTGTAAAGACGTTGAGGTTGTTGGGAGCTTCACCGGCCGCCCGGACGGGAACATTTTTCTGCCGCGGAGAGCACCGGATTCTAGTCCGTCACTGTTGCTGAGAGCTATCGGAGTTCTCCATTGAACTATCGGTAAGTTCATTTTTCCTATGCGTGCCTTGCAATTGCCTTGCTCTAGATTGTATGGATTGTCGGAGCCCAATGCCCACCCGGCATTCAGCGATTTCCACCTCGTATTTGATCCTTCTACGTATTCTAATGCTAATTAACCGGGTGCCTTGAACTAGGCACCATAATGTTTGCAAGATCTTTTGCTTTCAGGGCATTCTCGCCGCAATGTCCCAGGACCTTTATGACCCCCGGATCGTCGCTATCAAGCCCAACATGGAGATACTTCACTTCAAGCGCTGCTCGAACAAAGGCCGCAGTTAAAACCAAGCCCCAATATAACCCTCCCCAATTCAAAGCGTCTCCACAAACCGAGCAAAGTCTGAAATTTGCTGGACGACGAGCAGAGGGTTTCGGAAAATTAGAACGAAAGGTCGCAAAAGAAGGGCAGGTGTTACTTTTCCAAGCGCCATCGCATCGCAGCTATGTTCTAGGCGCCTACGGAATTTCAGCATTTTGCTTCGCTTACTCCGTGTACAACTCTAATGTTGTCTTTCGCGATCCGATAATACCTCTCCCAATGTGGCAGCAGGCTCTCTTTGGCGGTATCTGTGTCATGATGAGCGTCATGGGTACCGTGTTCCTTTTCAAAACTGGACGGCTGATCAAGGCAGTCAATGCCGTTCAATCTAACGGACAGACCCATCTCCGCTTTACTGTTCGGAGCTTCATCCCTTTCAGGAAGCCATTTGAGTTCGATGCTTTACCTCATCAAATAGCGTTTTCTCGTCGGCTGGTTGTGACGCACGACTCTGTGGCTCGCATGCAGCATGCAGAGGCCGCTCAAAATGGGACCACGAGCTTCTTCAAGGCGCCTTTGAAGAGGACGAGTATGCTCCTTTGGAAACTATTCCGATCTGTCCGGCAATTATTCACACAAGAAGACTTCATCCTCTTGGAAGTGGAAGGTCAAAAAGGTGTTATGCGGATGGATTCTGCGGGATTTGTATCGCAGGACTTTCTTGTGATTGGCAACCCGGTCACCTACAGGCGTTAGATGACTGGGTGATCAAGTTGGCCCTCTGTGAGCCAGCCGATTGTGACGTTCATTCTGAAAACGTCTAATACTGTTACTGTTCCTGGTACCCTTGATTGGGGCCTTTTTGCATCCTGAACTGATGAAGCGTCTCGATCTGTCCTTGTACAACAGATTCCCATGTATAAATAAAACCAATTCTTCTACAAAATGTAGCAGTACCGAGCATAGTCTAAGCGAATGAAAAGAAATAAAGACGATATCATGGTTGTATTGTTCGTTGCACGTGACCTCCCGGCGCGTCCTCCTAATTGTTCTGTGACGCGACTTCCAGATCACTATCGCGCGGGCCCCTCCAAACACCCGACGGTCAGTTGTTATTTACCCCAGAGTCTCTGGGTCGCCTGAGGCAGTTCTCAACGCTTCGCTTTATCTTTCCAGACTTGCAACCGCGGTCGCCGAAAAGCGACTGCCTTGCCGCAAGATGGGGAAGCTCATCAGGCTCGAGCTTTTTAGTATGCAGCGCTTTCAGAAGGCCATGATCCACACTTGATTGCTGACTGGCACACAGACTTCAAATCTTACAAGGGACACCATACCCTTCTTTTCGGCGATGCCTATTTCACATCTATTATCGGCCCTAACGGGTCCGGAAAGTCCAACTCGTGCGCTTCTCCGTATGCCCAACTGGAAACGTACGTGCGCTGACCATATCAGGATGGATGCTATTTCCTTTGTGCTAGGAATCAAGTCTTCCCACTTGCGATCTACGAACCTTCGCGATCTTGTCTACCGCGGCCGTGTCCTGCGCACCTCGAAACTTGATGCCGATGGTAATGTCATCGATGAAGAACCAAACGGACAGGATCACGCAGAAGATGGAGTTGATGGAGAACAATCACAAGACCCCAGCGGATCGAAGGATCCTAAAACGGCTTGGGTTATGGCAGTCTACGAGGACGATGCCGGCGAGGAACAGCAATGGCGACGATCGATTACGAGCCAGGGAGTCAGTGAATACCGTATCAACAACCGTATCGTGACCGCGCAGCAATATAATGAGGCGCTTGAGGCGGAGAATATCTTGATTAGGGCGCGCAACTTCTTGGTCTTCCAGGGTGATGTTGAAGCGATTGCGTCGCAGTCTCCGAAGGATCTTACCCGGTTGATTGAGCAGATTTCTGGAAGTCTGGAATACAAGGCCGAGTACGAACGTCTCAAAGCAGAGGCAGAGGAGGCTGCGGAGCAACAGACAGTCCAACTCAACCGTCGGCGAGCCATCAATTCCGAGATCAAGCAATACCAAGAACAGAAGCGGGAAGCCGAGAATTATGCCCGTAAAGCGGAGGAGCGCGACCAAGCTATCATCACTCACATCCTCTGGAAGCTCTTCCATTTCCAGCGCATGATCGACGACTCCAGTGCAGAGATCTTGAAGTACCAAGATGAATTGAAGGAATACCGCCGCGGTGTTGAGAAATACGAAAAGAATGTCGAGGATGCTAAGAAGGAGCACGCGGGTGTTGGTCGAGAGGTAGCAAAGGCTGAGAAGAATATCACGAAGAAAGAGAAGGATATCGAGGAAGCCGCTAATGAGTTGGTTCCGATTGACGAGAAAGTCGACATTACTATGAAAAAGGTAGAGCGGTTTGCCTCTCGCATCGCGGAGATTGGCAAGGAGCGAGACTCGCAATCAGCCAATGCCAAGCGGCTCGAGAAAGACCTTAAGGTCATTGAAAAGGCCCAATCCCAGTGGGAAACAGAGTGGCAAAAGACAATGACCAAACAAGGCGTTCAACTGAGCGAGGCTGATCAGCAAGAATACAACAAACTTAAAGAGGAAGTCAACAAGCGATCATCTGCAGAGCAATTGAACCTTGACAACTTACGACGCCAAATGAAGACTGACGCCGAAGCCTACAACAGCCTGAAAAGCAAATTCGAAAGCACCGAGTGGCAGCTCAAGACCTTAGAATCAGATACAAGCTCCTTGACTGAGCGTAGATCGTCTATCAAGGATACGGTCAAAACTACATCTAAAGATATCGAACGCAAGAAGAAGGAGTTGAACGCACTCACTTCCGAACGGCTGCGTGTTTCGCAGATGAGGACTGAACTTGAGGAGAAGCTCCAGGTTGTCTTAAAGAAACTTCTTGAAGCTGATGACGGCAAGAAGCAGACTGAGAGGGAGATCAGAACAAAGGAGCTGATCTCGACCCTGAAGCGTATCTTTCCTGGCGTGAAAGGCCGTGTCAGTGACCTATGCAAGCCGAAACAGAAAAAATACGCTGACGCTGTGAGCACTGTTCTTGGACGCCACTTTGATGCGATTGTTGTCGATAACGAGAAGACTGCCAAGGAGTGTATCCAACATCTTCGTGATCAGAGAGCCGGCCAGGCTACCTTTATTCCTCTGGAGACTATCCAAGTTAAGGCATTCAATTCTAACCTGAAGGGAATGCACAGAGGAATGCGGCCAGCAATTGAAACAGTGGATTATGATGACTCTGTGGCCAGAGCTATCAGCTATGCATGCGGAAACGCCATTGTGTGTGATGACCTGGCGACAGCCAAGTATCTCTGCTACGAAAAACATGTGGATGCAAAGGCCGTTACTCTCGACGGTACAGTTATCCACAAGGGTGGTTTGATGACTGGTGGCCGAGGCCCTCAGCAGAATTCGAAGCGCTGGGAAGATTCCGAGGTAGAGAATCTATTCAAGCTCAAGGACAAATTGATGGCCGACCTTGCCAATCTGCCCAAGGGCCATCGTCGGGGTACCGAAGAGGAAACGCTGCAAGGAGAGCTGGTTGGTCTTGAACAGCGCTTGGCGTATGCCCAAGAGGAGCTTAAGGCGCTTGAGAGGAACCTTCAAAGCAAGCACAGTGAATTGGACTTTGTCAAGCGCCAGCTCGAGGAGGTGAGGCCCAAGTACGTGGAGAAGCAAGAAGAGCTTGCGGAGCTTGAACAGACCATCGCGACATCCCAGGAAACCGTCAGCAATGTTGAAGATGAGGTCTATCGTAAATTCTGCAAGCGTCTTGGCTACAGCAACATTCGTGAATATGAAGTTCAACAGGGCTCCTTGCATGAAGAGGCTGCCCAGAAGAAGCTTGAATTTACTACCCAAAAGAGCAGAATTGAGAATCAGCTCAGTTTTGAGAAGCAGCGTCTTCAGGCCACTCTTGATCGGATTGCCAGTCTGCAGACTCAACACCAGCGTGATCAAGATATGATTGAAGAGCTCAAAGAAGAACAAGAGCGCATCCGTAACCAACTCGACGAGTATAATGCGGAACTCGAAATTCTTCGCGAGCGTCTCGAGCAGCAGAAGGAATCTTACGCGCAATCTGCTGAAAACCTCACACAACATCGTAGAGAGCTTCAAAGGCGCAGCAAAGATGTGGAAGCTACATTGAAGAACATGAATGCATTGGAAACAGAGATCCAGCGTAACTCATCCAGCCGATACGCTCTTCTTCGGCGCTGCAAACTCGAGGATATTGACCTACCTTTGAGCGAGGGATCAAACCCTCTAGACCAGCTCCCTATTGATGAGCTTGTCCAAGCAGCCGATCCTGACGCAATGGATGTTGATGAAGATGCCAACGGTGGCACTGATGGCGCTTTCACGGTTCAGGACTATGGTATTGAGGCTGATTTCGACTCTCTCGGCGAAACACTCAAAGAGGTGGGCTCTGCTCCCTATGCTGTTCCAGAATACATACTAACTTCGCCCTAGGAGTCCGATGAAAAGCTCGAAGAGGAGTTACTAGATAAAGTTCGGTCTCTGAACAGTGAACTCGACAAGATGGCCCCGAATACCCGTGCAATGGAA